AGAAAACTCTCTTCGACATCCTTTTTCATTCCTTTCTCCACCCCATTTCCCCCCAGGAAACCACCCGTATGGAATTGTCTGCAATTCTTCTATAAATCCAATCGAACTTATTTCTCCTCAGCTTCCCTAAGCATAAGCTTTAGCAAACCCAGTCGAGCTTATTCGCCCTTAGCTTCACCTAAGCATAAGCTTCAGGAGTGCAGGAACCGCTTGCTGGCGGTGAAAACTGACGTACTAGTCTTCTTCAGATTGCCGTTGAGCTGGATCATTCGTGGCAGATGAAGCTACAGCTCAAGATACATCTTAGTCGTACAGCACCGGCCCCTGGCGCTGTCGTTGATGAGCCATCCGCATCGTACAAGGAAAGTACCGAGAAACGTGGTCACGGGACCGAACATCCCTGTTGGCGTTATTTCACACGTGATCGAAAAAGCGCCGATTGCCGAATCTGTGGTGTTCACGTTGCATATGCATGTTCGGGCAATTTGATGAGGCATCTGCGGTCAAGGCATGTTGCGGAATCGGTGATAACGCAAAAAGAATGGGAAGAAATACAGAAGGTCTTTTTCCCCCTCATTTCTGTTTTTTTGTGGCTTGATTTGCCCAAAAGGCACCAGAAAACACGCGAAGTACAGGGGGTAACGGAGTATTAGATAGCCAGGGATATTACGGAAGAGGAGAAAGTGAGGGATTTCAGATAGCTACTTGGATAATTTATAACTTTTTATTTTGTAGCAGTACCAATTTACCATCGAAACGAATAAACAAATCCCGGAAGAAATTGGTTTTTGTACTGATTAAATTGAAAGCCCCGACTTTTAGCAAAGAACAGCACTTGCACAAATTACTTCTTTTTTTGGACACTGTAGCAAGATCGTTTGAATCCCAGCAGCTAGAATTTGTGACATACTGGCTGTCGAAGTTCCGGAAGTTAAATGTGCAGCTGTGTGGTATGTCAGTTGTTGCTGTCGGCTTCAGTGGCCCGGCAAATGGAAATTTGCTGGTGCACTGGTTCAAAATGCACACTGGTTCATTCTCATTCACTTCATTCTGGATTGCCAGCTAACCGAGCAAAACGTGGTGGCTCCAAGTTGCGGAATTCTTCTTGCCTTTTCATTGAAGGTGGCCCAACGTATACCTAAATTTGCTTTCAAATTTTTTTTTAAGAAGAAAAAACAGCTGTGTGAATTACGATT